TTTTGTTGTCCTGGTCATTGTTATACATTTGCATCCTGAAACAGGAGAATGCAGTTGGAGTTGGAGTTTGTCTACGTCCCTATCGTATGTGCATTCATGAGCAGGTATCGGTTTATAGAGATAAATACAAAAATAAATCCTTGTCAGATGAATGCAGATGGGTTATTCTCAGATTGCATGTTGACCAATAATGTACGCCTCTTTTGCTCTTTACATGCATGCAACCAAAGATAGCTCAAACGTGGTTGGTCAATATGGACTGTAAAAGAGAACCAGAAAGCTCTGAAACCAACATCTGGTCCTCTGCCTGAAGATTCTGCGTCCATCGGCACAAACTGCGAGCTTCAAATCTCCAAATCTTCTTACAATGCCTGGTTTAAACAGATTTAACACCGTAGAAATGCTAATTGTTTTTTATTTCAAGAAACATTGTTGACCCCTTGCATCCAATCGGCTTCCTACAGTAAATATCAAAACAGAAACATGAAACCTTTTGAAAGTAACCACTTAAGGTGGGCTAATTTACTAGATTTGGTTTAGAAAGATAAAGTGGTTCATTTTAATATTTGCTTTAATGAAACCATGCTGTCATGATTGCTGTATGTCCAGGCTTTTGGTTGATAACCTCCAGCAGACAGCGTGCTTACTCTCTTGTTAAGAATATTCTTGTTGCTGAGGAACAGAGGCAGCTGGATAATTTCTTTTCTCAGAGATAAGAAAGTTTATCATTTTCATTGAAGAAAAAGTAAAGGCTATGTTTGCCCCAACTAAAAGCAATCTGATTTCAGGATACAACAACTAAATCCTGCTTTAAAAACACTTGAAGCAGCATGAAGCTCACCATACAGATCACTGCTCAAACCTCTGCTGTAGGCAGGGATTGTCTCTGTCTGCCATTTTAATACATATTTACATGCTGAAACACAATAATTAGAATTCATTAGTGTAATCTGAGGTCTACATCTAGATTGGGAGTTGTTTGATTAGTAGCTTTGGGACATTGTTTTTGTACTGAGTCTGCCTCTCTCCTACTTTTGTTTCTCCTTATTTGGCATGACTTTCTGTAATATGGCTGTGCTTGAAGACTAATCTCTGCTATCTCAGCTCTAATTAACAGAGCACACACAGTTGCCACATTTGTTGTTTTTGTGATTTTTTTCTGCTAAGATCTCTGTGTTGTTTTTGTGCAAAGCACCTGAACTTGTCTGCCTGCTGACGATGATTCAAATCATACACCAAAAGGACACTTTCACCTCTCCCCTCGTCATGGCTTCATATGTCAGGATGTAACCTGAAAACTGGGCCTTCTTTGAAACTAAGATCCGCACTAAATAAACAATTGGTTTTCTTATTTGACGTGTAGGTGCAAAAACACGTGCCTTCATGAGGAAGTTCACAGCACGGTGCAGCTGCTGTGTGTCGTGTTTGAGGTTTACCTACTACAGAGGAAGTGTTGTGGGGGAGAAGACAATGTTACAACCTATGGTTACAACCAGCAAAAAAAACAGGATATCCGATGGAACAAATGAAACACTTAGATATGAAAAACGAGGTTGTTTTCTCCGACTCTTCTTAATTGACCGTTTGTAATGAAATGTTAAATAGCCTAAAGTTAGATCCAACATCAAGCGTATCTCCAGAGTGGATTATCTGTTGTGGTGGACCCTGTGAGCACATTTCAGTTCGTATGTTTTGGTAGAGTGAGGATCAAATTGAGAGCCCATCATATCAATGATATGCGTAGCTACTCTGCTAACTGCCGCACTTCAAAGAGCCCTTGATTTCCTCTAGCCGAGCATGTTAATTGGCGCTTGATTGATAACTCGAGTTCACAGGCGATGTCATGTGTCGTCTAAACTGTTCCAGGGTGTCTTTGTGAAATCAGCGGAAGAAGAATCACTGGCGGGCCAATTAAAAAAATGTGCCAGTGTACACATTTGCGAATAAGCTGTCACACATTACAAATTAGATTACCTTTTTGCAGTGTGCCCTGGAACTTGGTAAGCACGGGTAAGACACTAAAATAGCTCAAATCGTTTGGTTTTTTTTATCAGCGTGCTCGATCTGCAAGCGCTGTTTATGCTTTCCTCATGCACAGTAAAAAAAGAATTCACAGCTTGGAGCAAAATGTAATCAGTTGCAGTAAAGGAAGAATTAGCAGGTTAAAGAGAGAAACAAGCTCAGAGTGCTTGCTTTATATATATTTATATATATAGTTTATTTTACATGTGGCATGTAAAAAGAATGACAGTTTTCAATTCTCATAAATGTTTTCATTAAACCCAGTCATAGACACTGGTCATAAATGATATCATTCATCCCAGAGATAGAAGCAACACTATCTGGTTTTATTTGCATGCACACATACATGACACACACAATGCCAGTGTTATGAATGGCAACACTGTGATACAGAAATGTCAATCAGGGGTGAGAAAGCTGTTTTTGTATTTGCATGCAATCACAAGCTCTCATTGTAATTGCCTAGTTTGCATGGCACAGATCACTGAGGCCAGGTGAAGCCCGTATGAAGGTGCTCTGCTGGACATCTGACAGCGTGTCGCATGCATCGAGCATCAGAAGCTTTGACAAAACAGAGGCAACTCAATTCAAGTTATGACTGAGCGCCATCATTATAAACTGGAACAAGTTCAGCGGTTGTTTGAAAAATAGGTATCAGGGGAACATTTCACAGAAAGAAATTGTGAAATGCCTTTAGTTACAAAATATTGATTAAAGATGCTTTCACAGCTTTTCCCCAGCAGAGATCCTGACATGCCATAGCAGGAGAAGCACAGGGCAAGGACATGTTCACAATGCAGTGCTAAGTACAAATAAGAGAGAGTAAGTATGCAGACAACCAAATGCTTGAGTTTGCTTTTTTGATGTGGATGGAAACCATTGTTCCATAAAGAAATGAAATGCTAAAGGAAATGAAGGATCTACTCACAACTGGATTTCAAGTCCCGTTACACAGAAACATGTGGTACAAAAGTCAATGTTGGGTTGATGGTCGGAGAGGTATTCATTCATGTACTCATTTATTTGTAATATGGTGTTAGGTTATAATTATTATTTGCAAGTTTGAAAATGTATTTATTAGCATTACCGAGACAACCCATGATGTGCTTTGTCACTAAACACATTATGTTGTTTCCACATTATGACTTAAAGTAAATAAACAAACCAACGTTAAGAAGCACATGAACATTAAATACTAAAGTATTACTGTCTTGTGGATATGCTTTCCGCCCATATCATCATACTCATATAAATACATTGCACTACACTCACACTGACAAGAAAGATACTAGGTGTGTTTCAAATTTGCAAGGCATGCATGCAAAGAAAGCTTTCAAACCATAAGTAGAGGAAAACACTATGACTCAAACCATTCAAACAAACAAACAAACAAACAAACCAGGGAATAAATGAATCACTTCCTTGTGTTTTGTCTTAGCTTAATTTGCTCTTTGGTCATAGAGGTAGTGCATGTCCTCAAAGTTTACTTAGACTGTGGCACATTAGCCTTCAATGCGTTAACATTTTGTTTTTGTTTTGCTGTGTGATTCTAACATTTAAGACAGAATTACCTTCACTACTGTAAATATATGGCAAGTGATGTTTCAATATTAACTAAGCAGCCAGTAAATTCAGGATTTAGTTAACGAAGGAGTGTCCACTTACTAAAGGTTCCAGAAGATAGACATGCATGACAGTGGATGGTAGTGCTGCAGCATGCAACACATAACAGCAAATGAGTTTGCTGTTCAAATTAAAGCATGTGCTCTGTCAACCCTCACACACTTGCTGAGCAACTCTTGTAGCCAGCACCTTGCATTTCCAACTTCCTTTGTCCAATTATCAAGAAAACAAAAAACAAATCACAAATTCTTAAAACTATTCTTAAACTATCCATGTAATATTATTAATAAAAACCAAACAAATACAGCAAGACACAACAAAAGAATATACTCTGGCTGAAAATAATAGTCTAATTAAAATGAGGTGGAATATTCGTAGTTAAGAGTGTGCCTTCTTCAGGTGGTGTCTTTTCTGGGTTATAATCCAGTTTATTCCATGGAGGTTCCCATGTACAAGGAATATGCTTTGGTGTATTGATGCATAACATAAACATAGTAAGAGATAATGAAAAATTACAATAAAATGTTTTTTAAAAATACTATAAAATGATATACATATATCTGTAGACAAAAAAAGAGAATAAATACGAAATATAATAAATATATAAAAACAATATCAAATGTATTCGAATAAAATACGTAGATTTTTTTTAAAACATCACAAAAACCAACACATGATATTCACAGTATGAACTATTAGAATATGTGATGAACAGATATAGTCCTTTATATTCCATATTTATTTTATTATTTGACTTTCATTAGAATAGAATAGAATAGAATCGGAGGGATGAAACCCTCTTTAATGGTCACACATGCAGAGCACACAGCACACACAGTGACATTTGGCCTCTGCATTTAACCCATCTTCGTACTAGGAGCAGTGGGCAGCTATTGTACAGCGCCCGGGGAGCAATGGGAGTGGGGGGGTTATCCGGTGCCTTGCTCAAGGGCACCACGGTCGGCAGGGCCCAGGAGGTGAACTGGGACCTCTCCAAGTAGCAGTCCACACTCCGTCTGGCAGGTAAGTGTTGATAACATAATTGGGTAAAGTGTAAGTACTTTAAGCTGAAGTTTCTTCTTTTACTGTGTGTGCTCCATACTATTGTATTGCTATTTAATTGGATGCAATTGTGCAGGTGTGGATACTTTGACAATTTATATATTATTTCCTGATATGTTTCAAACAGCACGATTTTACCATCATATGCACTAAGACAGAGTCACAGGGTTTAGCTTCTAAAAAAGCGGACTTCCAGTATAATGTCCCCTGTTGTCGTGTTGTCGGCCCGGTGTAAACACTCTCCCGCCGGCCTGCTGCCTTACATGGGCAAACCTCTCCTCACTGCAGGCGGCTGGAATTTCAGAGCGTGACGTCACTGCCTACAACTCTCCCAGAATTTGGATCAAGAAGTTTCACTTTTTGGGTGGGATTGGAACCTCTGTTATAATATTCCCTAGAAAGCGAGGTAAGCACAACTTTGGAGCACTTTAAACATATGTTTATGCGTCTGTCGGCTGTGAAGTTTAATGTGTGTGTGATAACCCGGTGTAGCTCGTCTTTAATGTGTTCGGCCTTGTGGCTATGATATGCCTTTTTACTGTAGCTTGGACTGGGTTCACAGTGAGGGCGTGGACTCACACGATAGCCTCGGCTTGTACTACTGTTACATGAGGAGACTAGCAAAGTTAACGTGTCGGTTAGCTAGTCCTCAGCCCGGCTCAGCCCGGCTCAGCCCGGTTGAGTTTAAACCCTGTGGAACGGGACTCAGGCGACTCTGTTGGGTCTGTTCTCAGCCCTCTGCCGCTGAGCAATGCGGAAGACTGCCTGTCAGTGCAGAAACACGAGAGCAGAAATATGTCGCTGATATTTCACTTCAGCAGGCTCATAAGCATCCATTCACCAAGTGTCCCATTACAGGAATAACAGTTAGCTCCCTGAGTGTTTGCTAGTTTTAGCTTCGTCGTTAAACAAAATAATATTTGCGGACTTGTTTACGGCAGCACAGATTCGCCACGTTGTTAACGTAGTTTTTATGACGCTCTCTATCATTAACTTGGAGAATACTGTTGTTTCTGTAAAGTTGTTGGGACTTCTGTATCCATTCGACTTACATTATAATTCATTGCACACACGTATACGTTTGTTCAGGCCCATAAAGGACTAATTTACAGTGAAGGCCTTAGAATACTTTTAACCCTGGTCTGTATGAAAAGACAAGCCAGGAAAACATAATTGGCATGAAGTGACATTAACATGTCCACACAGTTCAGGCCTGGCCCCATGTCAAGTCTTCTTTTACTTCTCAAGACCCTGGTCAGATACTCTCTGCTGGCCCCTTGACAATGCAACATGTTACCTCAGACAGTTCTGGATTAAGTGACTGCACTTAAGATAAGTGTAATTTTATCCATTCGACTGTCTCAGCCTGTTGATAACATCATCTGGGAATTTTCTTAAGGACAAAGTCTACATTTTAAATGAAACCCCATTCATTAGGTGTGTATAGTATTGTGTATAAGTATGGAATGTAACTATCATGCCGCAGTATTGTGACGGTTTTTTGTGCATGTCTCCTCTAAAGCTTTACAAGGGTCATACACACACAGATGAGTACTGAAAACCTCCCTATTGTAGCTTTAACGTTGTCAATGTCAATATATGAAAATCTCTGTCTAGACTACAGGTATTGTTCTGCCATAAAATATCACTAGTGTGAAAAATAAGTCTCACTGTCTTGGTTGAAAGACTGAATTCATACTTTGACTTAGATGTTGAATTTCAAATCAATAACACTAAGGTCCCATAAGAGTGCTGTCATCAAACCGAATACATCTGCGTCGCTCCGACACATTTCTGACTCGGGCAACATTAAACGGAACTGTCTCTAAAATCTCTGGTTAAAAAGAACTCGTTTGACAGCGTTGATGATGTTAAAGTTAAAAGATGAGTGCATCAACTGCCTTTGAGCCGGGGCCCCCCTGGTAGGTTTAGTCAAGACATTCAACTGTTTGTGTTACTTTAATGAGGATGTGCTTTTTTGGAAGGAACAGCAGTTTCACCAGACTCAAATTGAAGAGTAGAGCGAAATGAGAAAACGGTGGTCTTTCAGAAAGTGTTACCATAACCCGAAGCTAGTGTTCCCTATAAGCTTGGTAAATATGGTTTATTGGTACCAAAAATGAAGACAAGACGCACTGCTTCTGCATCTGCAGATACCTGACAGTCTTTGCTACAGGGTCCTTTAACATCACTAACTACTGTTCTGAAGGTTTTTCCAGAATCCTCAGAGACTCCTCCGGTCATCTGGATGAAATCATATTCCATCTTGGTATCATAAAATATTCTAACCTGTTTCCCCAATTGCACCCCAAAATAAAAAAAAAACACTAGTTTTCCCAAATTGATCTTGTACATTCTGTGACTTTATCACAGTATAGTAGGTATAGTTTTTTCTCCTGAAATTATTCAACAACAGCCCTATGTTGTATACATGTGTTAAGTCAAAATGAAGTTAGTTATTGACAGTGTAAGATCTCTTGACCGCATAAAACAATAATGTTTTATAATTTTGTAAAGAATAAACCTCCACTAAAATATGCATTGACCATAGAAAAAAGACTAAAAACAAAAGCAGACAATGACACCAGACTTCAGAGACAACATAGGAGTGTGGACATGTCGGGGCCTGCTGGGCTCTCAGGTTAGGGTGTGACATGTGGCAGGCTCGTTAGCAACTCATACCTTTTCCTTTTACATGAATCTATGTTGATTTAAAAAAAAGTCACGATACCTGCATAATAATAATAATAATAATAATAATAATAATAATAATAATAATAATAAATACAATTAAAACTAAATTCAAAGTGTAGATGGGTGTTTTCCTGCAGAGTATATTTGTAATACTCTAAAGGAAGCTTCATGTGTGGTTGCTGGTACTTTCACGGAGGAGCTGTGCACAGTGCTCAGGACTGCAAGCAGGTTACTTGATTGACACCTCCCTCACTCTACTCTTTGATTTACCTATATGAGTGGGACAACACCCATGACATTTTTTAAAAATATTTTTGTACTTTATTGTAACGGTAACATTCAAAAAATAAAATATATAGAAATGCAAAGAACAGAAGAGGAAACAACGTGTCACGGAATTCAGTTATGACATTTAAAAAAAAAAAACACTTGTTTAAGGGATTGAAATAATCTTTTTATAAAAACAATTGTTTCTATTTGTTTAGAACACAGATATCACTTGAATATTTAATATTCACTTTAAACCTTTTCAGAACCTTTTCATGTTGCTTTGTACTTTTCCTGATAGAGATACCCTTTATAATGAATATTATTTGAGTTTAGTCTGTTCACTAAACAACAAGCAGTGTTTCCCCTGAACTGTATCTCTGCAGTGACAAATGACTCCTACAGGCTGTGACAGCTGACTCATATTTAAATGGAAAACGTACTTAGGTTCATGCAGGATTTATAGGAGTTATATAATCTATTTGAGTAATACAGATTCGTCACTATTTCTCAATGTCAACAGATTTCAACACACAGTGAAGGGCATCACTTCATCAGCCTTCCAGGATTTCCGTTACATCCAGAGAAGAGAAAAGGTGAGATAGCTTTTGTGCTTCCATGTTGTGTTTGGAGAGTCATGCGTTGTAGTTTGAGGAGATGAAAATATGGATATGGCAAGTCCGGGTCAAATCCCTCTCAAAACGATCACACATTTGCTACAGTACCAAAGAGGCAGCACATGGAAGCTTCAAAAGTGTGCATGAGCGTCCAGTAAAGACATGGCATGTGATGTCATCAAGCTTCTCTGTAAGCTGTTTAGCTAAGTTTATTGCATTTAATATGGTTTAGCTCATTGTAAGGAGCACATTTCAATTCAAGATTCAAAGATGTATTGTCATATACACAACTACAGTGTAGTTATGGAGTGAATGAAAAACTTAGGTCACAGGTTCCTCAACAGTGCAACAGTGCAATTACAATAAAACAATAATAATGTTATGACACCTCTGTTATTCAAGGTGTTTTTAAGGTTCTTGCATTGCCATGTGACCCTGTTTTGCTGCCTCTTCTAATACACTTCAAAACTTTTCCAGAATTTTTGCAAATCACTCTTCTACCACAAATCACCTTTACATGTAGTAGTTAACTTAATTTCTTTGGGTTCCCCACTGAGTTGTCACTGCTACATGAGATTTGTACACGTTTTAGGACTTAAGGAATTTGGGAAAGTCATTTGGAATTGTGCTCTTTACCCACAAAAATAATTGCAAAGACTTTATGAACATACAGTATAAAGATGTCAGTTGTGTGAACGCAGTCCTTTAAGATACTAGTTTGAGAAAAGGAGCATTCTCCAGCCAAGTCGCCCTTGAAAAGTGTTCCAGTGCAGGCAGGGAGGTGTAATGTGCTCTCTAAGCAGCTGTTAATATGATCGTGATCTGGGCTGACCCACAGAGCGCATGGGGAGTAATCAGACTTTAATTATACCTTCTTAATTACTTGAACACAATCCGTGTGACAGGACAGCTTTTCACAGTAAATGGGCTATCTTTGCCTTCTAATCGGGCCCTGGTCGCCTGATTAACAACAAAGTCACTTATGTCTATATTTCCATACATTTTTTGAATTGGCTAACTTGACTTCTCTACATTTTTTATAGTTATTCTTTTAAAAATGGAGCTTGTTGGGCAGGCTCAGTGTTGCCCATCTTAGGTCACGGAACACAAAGTGATGGTGAAATGTTCTCTACAATCATCTGTATTATTGCTAGTGAAAGGTATGCACCACAGAACTGGCTCTGCGGAGTGACTCTGGCTCACAGAGTATGGCATTCCAAGTTAAAAGCAAACCAAACTGATATTGCCCTCCAATACTGTCTTCATTTTTTCTCCATATTTGGAAATGTTTACCTCCTCCATGATGGTTGACAGAGGTTGGGAGAGGGAATGTGAGTCATTTCAGCTGCACAAGGCTTGAAGGGCTGAGAGGAGACTTCCTTTAGTGAAGCTAACACTTTTCTCTGCTTCAATAATCTAAAGAAACTCTGTGAGTATCATACTATGCTTCATTCTTGTTTTAATAGTTTTGTTTGTTTGTAGCATGTCTTTTTTCAGTGAGAGAATGCAGCTTATTACTGTAAAAAATGGCATTCATAACATAATGTATGGTTTTCCATTGTCCAAAGCTGTGTGTATAGGCTGCTTGTGGGGAACTTGTGTCAGTAGTTGTCCTGTTTGACAGATCAGGAAATGCTATTGCTGTGTCATTGCAGACACAATACAGACACATTATGTTCCTGTGCATCTCTGCAAGGAAGAGGAAGTCACTTATATTGACTGTTTGACAGATATCTTTTAAATACAACGTCACACTTACTCTGTACTGCACAGCAATATGAGCAGGTCAGAGCTGAAGATGAAAGCACACAGATGTGTTGTGTCTGGACACACTGAATACACATTGTAGGATAGAAATAGTGAAATAGCTCAGAAGGCTTTCCTGCAGATGTGTGTGTGTTTGAGAGTTGGGGGCAGCTCGGGTCGTTGAAGAATCCTGGTTTTGCAAACATCCACTCGGACTGATATCTACACCTCAACAGGTCTGACCTTCCTCCTGGCTCTTACTTTCACACTTCAAACGTTTAGTGGCAGGCGTGGCAGTAGGTGAGGGAAAAGGTAAATGATTTGACTTAGCTCTAAGGGCTGGGGCTGCTCACTTCACTGTGATTATCCTTTACTTGTATCTCTAAATGATGCTGGGAATGTAGCCTTGGGGCTGAACACTGGTACAGTGTAAGTCAATGTTCTTTTTTCCCCATATTGTTTTATTGGATTCTGGATTGTATATGCTTGCACAGTCATTACTGAATAATATATGTTTATGAAATTGTAGGTAAAGCATTTTTTCCTTACAATTTTCATATGGCTGAACTTGGAGCTGCTATTGTGCTGTATTTACATTCCTTTTCATATTGGAAATACAGGTCTTCAGGACCGTCCACTAATGCCAATATGTACTTGAAACATGCATCAACACCAAGCTTACCCTGCAACGACTGATGAACATGTTCAAAGTAACTACAACCACATTATCTGTGGTTTTACGTCTGAACCAGTTCACTTTTGGATGGAAGGGTATTCATTTCCCCTTGATTGTAAAAACAATGACCTTTACTTTCTGTCTAGTGCCATCTTCAGGTAAACATTTCGGTCTATCCAGTTGGGTTATGACCAAGTATCTGCAAAACGTCCTATCTTTTTTGGTATTCGTTAGATTTGAGGTGAAACTATATAACATTTTCACAATCAGAATCAGAATCAAGGTTATTGCCAGGTAGGAATTAGCTTTGGTATCTGGTAGTGCAAACATAAACAAGTTGCAAAGTAGTTAGAAATAAATATATAAGGATAATAAGTATTTACACCAAATACAAAAAGCTAAAACAAAAACACTTTGCAATGGAAGAATGGGCCGACATCCCTCAAGAGACCTGTGCCAACCTAGTAAAGAACTACTCTAAGAGGTTGTTGTCAGTTGTGGCTCAGAAAGGGTGCACTATTGACTATTAATGGCCTAGGGGCTAATATTTTTGACCAACCCATTTTTCACTATATTTGATATAAAGCAAGCCTAAAAACTTATTTTATTTTCCAAAATGTACCAAAAGCTACTAAATAGCACTGGTGAATGTTTGATTATATTAAGTTTTATCAATGCTGGAAACATTGGGAAGAATTTTATGAAAATGTTCCATAACTCCTGGGGGGCTAATCATTTAGGCCTCAACTGTATGTAACAATGGGGGGGCTGTGGCTCAGGGTTGGAGCGGTGGTTTGATCCCCAGCCCCTGCAGAATAAGAAGAATAAGACATACTTTATTACATTTCTTTCTCAATTGTGTTGTGTTTACACACATTTCACACACAGGGAGGATATACATGCACAAACGCAACCACATGCAGACAGGCAGAGCAGAGAGGCTGCCAGTTAGCCGGCGCCAGGGAGCAGTTTCGTTGTTAGGTGACTTGCTCAAGGGCACCTCGACAGTGGTCCAGGCGGTGAACTGGCACCTCTCCAGCTACCAGCTAACACTCCGTATTTTTGTTTGTTTGTCTGATCAGGACGCGAAGCCGCGACACTTCGGTTTACAGACTGAGCCACTGCTGCCACACCTTGGAAGTTTTTTTGGGTAAGATACTGAACCCCATTTCTCTAGATGGCCAAAAGTGTGTGTGTTAGGCCCCGGCTCCACGGGAACGCATACGGCAAAACGCATCGGAGTAACGCAAACGCAAACGCAAAAAAGCTTCTGCCCACACGCAATATACACCGGATTGTGTCAAGCTCCACGAGACGGCTCCGTTTACATCCAACCGCTGGAAAAGCTGCAGTACATATGCCGAGCCTGTACGTGGCGCTGTAACTTCCTCCACCAAAGCAGCAACTTCCTCCACAAAAGCAGCGAAGAAGAATGGTTGTCATGGCTGCACTTCTGTTTATTCTCCTTGGTGGGGGTCGACGGAACCGGGCAGAGTTTTTCGCCGGTCAACGTGTGTTATAATTTTGTCCGGAAGATTTAAACTTTCAAAGTGCCGGTCAAAGGTCTTCATTGTTATTTATTGAGCTTTAAAACAAATGAATAACGACGATATAATGATATATAATAATAATAATAAAATACACGGAGCCTCTCTTTTTCCTCTCTTCTCACAGCGTCAGTGTCTGTCTCATGCAGCAGCTGATCCAGTAATGATGACTCGACAGTAAAAATAAACATATTTATAACTAGTTTAGGTAGTTTGAGAGGTCATTAAAATAGCTAAGGGTGATGATCTGACTTGAAGTGTGTGACTTGCTCCCGCTGCATCACAGCCGGAGGAGCTGCGTGTCTCCGTCCTGTCAGATTAGACTTCACTCGCGTTTATGTCCATATCGAGATAAAGATAAATAATCTGAATTCAGTGTGCAGTTTACTTTTGCGGGGGTGAGCAGCAGAGGTGGGGAGAGGCAGGGCTATTGCGTCGTCATTATCAGAAACGGATGACCGTATAGGCGACCACACGGCCCCGTTGGACCCCCCAGAGTGCTCCGTTCCCAGATCTATCCACCTTTGGACCCGTTGTCGTTTGCAGGGTCTGTTTCTAAGTTTCCGTTACGGCGTCGTCGAGCTTAAAGGGCTATACGCATGAGAAATATGCGGAAACAACCCGTTTTCGTTCCCGTGGAGCCTAGGCCTTAGTCTCTCTTGTAGGCAGCCTCTGTATGAATGGGTGAATGCTGACTCAAAGCACTTCATTCAACATTTTACTATAACAAAAACACCATCAACAAGAGTGTTTTGAGATATTTCAGTGGCTCTACTGGTTTAAGAAGCAGTGACAGACGCTGGTCGCTGGTTACATCACTCTCTGACCATAGCTTTTAAAACGACTTAATCTGCTCTCACTGCACTTAATTTCAAGATGTTTGCATCCCCAGATTGGGAGAGATTTGATGTTTTCAAGACAAGTTTTCTTAATGAATCTCGTCAACAAATCAAGGCATGATTAACAAGAGCAATTACAGCGGGGAGCTGGAGAACCACGCTAAAGTGGAGGAGATTATCTCTCTTATTAAGGGTTTGATTACTTTCTGTTTTTGTGTTTAACTCTAGATTACTCTTGAACTAATGAGGCCTTCTAAACAGCTACTTTCATCCATGCTGTTGAGAGTTTTAGAGGGCAGATTGGATACTTTAGAATGAAACACTTGCAGAATGGTTTTAAATATGTAATACTGTCTGGTAGCATATTTGGCAACAATGACAGCTTCATGTACTCTTTTATATGTCAGTGTCTGCTCGATAGTTCTCGATTTGGGATTGACTCCCAATCTAAGTTTGTTCCTCTTTTGTAGTCGGCATTGATAGTGATGACAAAACAACCGCTCCCGACACATTATTGGATGTCTTTGACTCGGTTCCTCTTGTTAATGCTGACCTGGCTGTGTGCCGGTGGACAGAGTTTGAATATCTCACCTCTGTTCCAATACTAAATGAATCTCCACACACACCGCATGATGTCATGACCTCCTTTACCTTATGTCTGAAGAATTCACTTTTGATTGCATCAGATGAAAAGATTCCTTAATGACATGCTGTATTGCTGTCAGTGAACTCTGTAGTCTGTTTGTTCCATCAGCCTGTAGCCATTTGTTAAGGGAAGATCTCTCAATAAGCTTGATGTTATTCATTCAAATATGGTATTTATGAAAAATAAATAGTACTACAGTTTCAGAGCACTTGTATGGACAATTATGAATGTGTTTTAAGGTGCATTCAAATGAATGCCCCTTAAATAAAGTCCGAGATTTTTCATATTTTTTATAATTAAAGAAACAAATGAAGTAGGCTTTGTCCAGTTGAAGAAGCTTTTTATAAAAACAATATCATATATCCATCCCTTTGGCATGTTTGACTTCTGTACGGCAATGTCCAACATAAGTGATGAGCAGAGAGACGTGTGTATGTGTATGATGAGCAGAGAGACGTATGCATGTGTTTGATGAGCAGAGAGACGTGTGTATGATGAGCAGAGAGACGTGTGTATGATGAGCAGAGAGACGTATGTATGTGTATGATGAGCAGAGAGACGTATGTATGTGTATGATGAGCAGAGAGACGTGTGTATGATGAGCAGAGAGACGTATGCATGTGTTTGATGAGCAGAGAGACGTATGCATGTGTTTGATGAGCAGAGAGACGTATGTATGTGTTTGATGAGCAGAGAGACGTATGTATGTGTATGATGAGCAGAGAGACGTATGCATGTGTTTGATGAGCAGAGAGACGTGTGTATGATGAGCAGAGAGACGTGTGTATGTGTTTGATGAGCAGAGAGACGTATGTATGTGTTTGATGAGCAGAGAGACGTATGCATGTGTTTGATGAGCAGAGAGACGTGTGTATGATGAGCAGAGAGACGTGTGTATGATGAGCAGAGAGACGTATGTATGTGTTTGATGAGCAGAGAGACGTGTGTATGTGTTTGATGAGCAGAGAGACGTATGTATGTGTATGATGAGCAGAGAGACGTATGTATGTGTTTGATGAGCAGAGAGACGTGTGTATGTGTATGATGAGCAGAGAGACATGTGTATGATGAGCAGAGAGACATATGTATGTGTATGATGAGCAGAGAGACGTGTGTATGTGTATGATGAGCAGAGAGACGTGTGTATGTGTATGATGAGCAGAGAGACGTGTGTATGATGAGCAGAGAGACGTATGCATGTGTTTGATGAGCAGAGAGACGTATGCATGTGTTTGATGAGCAGAGAGACGTATGTATGTGTATGATGAGCAGAGAGACGTATGCATGTGTTTGATGAGCAGAGAGACGTGTGTATGATGAGCAGAGAGACGTGTGTATGTGTTTGATGAGCAGAGAGACGTATGTATGTGTTTGATGAGCAGAGAGACGTATGCATGTGTTTGATGAGCAGAGAGACGTGTGTATGATGAGCAGAGAGACGTGTGTATGATGAGCAGAGAGACGTATGTATGTGTATGATGAGCAGAGAGACGTGTGTATGTGTATGATGAGCAGAGAGACGTGTGTATGATGAGCAGAGAGACGTATGCATGTGTTTGATGAGCAGAGAGACGTATGCATGTGTTTGATGAGCAGAGAGACGTATGCATGTGTTTGATGAGCAGAGAGACGTATGTATGTGTATGATGAGCAGAGAGACGTATGTATGTGTTTGATGAGCAGAGAGACGTGTGTATGATGAGCAGAGAGACATGTGTATGATGAGCAGAGAGACATATGTATGTGTATGATGAGCAGAGAGACGTGTGTATGTGTATGATGAGCAGAGAGACGTGTGTATGATGAGCAGAGAGACGTGTGTATGTGTATGATGAGCAGAGAGACGTGTGTATGATGAGCAGAGAGACGTGTGTATGATGAGCAGAGAGACGTGTGTATGTGTTTGATGAGCAGAGAGACGTGTGTATGTGTATGATGAGCAGAGAGACGTGTGTATGTGTATGATGAGCAGAGAGACGTGTGTATGATGAGCAGAGAGACGTGTGTATGATGAGCAGAGAGACGTGTGTATGTGTTTGATGAGCAGAGAGACGTGTGTATGTGTATGATGAGCAGAGAGACGTGTGTATGATGAGCAGAGAGACGTGTGTATGTGTATGATGAGCAGAGAGACGTGTGTATGTGTATGATGAGCAGAGAGACGTATGTGTATGATGAGCAGAGAGACGTATGTGTATGATGAGCAGAGAGACGTATGTGTTTGATGAGCAGAGAGACGTGTGTATGTGTATGATGAGCAGAGAGACATGTGTATGATGAGCAGAGAGACATATGTATGTGTATGATGAGCAGAGAGACGTATGTGTATGATGAGCAGAGAGACGTATGTGTATGATGAGCAGAGAGACGTATGTGTATGGTGAGCAGAGAGACGTGTGTATGTGTATGATGAGCAGAGAGACGTATGTATGTGTTTGATGAGCAGAGAGACGTATGTATGTGTATGATGAGCAGAGAGACGTGTGTATGATGAGCAGAGAGACGTATGTATGTGTTTGATGAGCAGAGAGACGTATGTATGTGTTTGATGAGCAGAGAGACGTATGTGTATGGTGAGCAGAGAGACGTATGTGTATGATGAGCAGAGAGACGTGTGTATGTGTATGATGAGCAGAGAGACTTATGTGTATGATGAGCAGAGAGACGTGTGTATGTGTATGATGAGCAGAGAGACGTATGTATGTGTATGATGAGCAGAGAGACGTATGTATGTGTATGATGAGCAGAGAGACGTATGTATGTGTATGATGAGCAGAGAAGCTGAACGGGAAATCTCTAAAGGAGTTTTCATCTTCTGAAACTTTGGCGTATATATTTGTGGGTATTGTTCTACTTTAGTAGCCGATGTAGCGTCATTGAATTTAACAGCAAATGAAGGTTTAGTTTATGATTCTTGCATGTTATTCTCTTTCTATCCACTATATCTCCCAGAATTCCCATCTTCAGTCCTAATATTTATATTAATAATAGTTACGTTTCTGATAAGATCAATTGGGCGTAAACTATGGCCAAGAAACCAATTCCAGAACTTTTGAGCTGAAATGATGGTAAGGGTCCAGCACCGAGTGTTGACACCCCCCAGGGCCCATCATTGTTT